AAAAAGAGAAAGCAGCAGGTGTCACATATTTGCTGCAGCACCTCATATTCTTATTGGAACAAATGGCTCAGCCACCCTTCAGGAACTGGGTAGGCAAGATGGGTGTAATAGTATTTGATATTATGAATACGATCCTAATTAAGAAATTTTAAAAAAAAGTTTTGAAGGCCGGGTGCAGTGGCTCACACCTATAATCCCAGCACTTTGGGAGACTAAAGTGGGTGCATTACCTGAGGTCAGGAGTTCGAGACCAGCCTGGTCAACAAGGTGAAACCCCATCTCTACTAAAAATACAAAAATTAGCCAGGCATGCTGGCAGGTGCCTGTAGTCCCAGCTACTCGGGAGGCTGAGACAGGAGAATTGCTTGAACCTGGGAAGCAGAGGTTGCAATGAGCTGAGATTGCGCCACTGCTCTCCAGCCTGGGTGATAAAGGGAGACTCCATCTAAACAACAACAACAACAACAACAGAGGATCCAATGTTTGCTTACCCGTAATCTGTATGTAATCCAAACACCTGGGTTAGGGAGAAACCCCAAATTTACAAGTTTCAGCCCCATGCAAACTATCCCAGTAAACAATTCCTCCCTGACAGCATAAGGCCATTGGAGTGTAACTCTGGGAAGAACTGGAGGGAACTGTGCCTGCAGACAGTGGGTCCAGGTGGTTAAGAAGTCTGGACTGGGCCAGGAGCGGTGGTTCACGCCTGTAATCCCAACACTTTGGGAGGGCAAGACAGGTGGATCACCTGAGGTCAGGAGTTCGAGATCAGCCTGGCCAATGTGGTGAAACTCCCCATCTTTTGTAAAAATACAAAACTTAGTTGGGCGTGGTGGCAGGCTGCTGTAATCCCAACTATTTGGGAGGCTGAGGCAGATATGCTTGAACCTGGGAGGCAGAGGTTGCCGTGAGCTGAGATCATTCCATTGCGCTCCAGCCTGGAGCGAAACTCCGACTAAGAAGAAAGAAAAAAGTCTGGGCCTGTCCCCATGAAAGGGCTTTGGATCCAGAAAGCCTGTGTCCTTGGAATTCTTTTGTAATTTTTTTCACTTTTGTTGTAGCTTATTTTTTACAATATTTTTTGAGACGGAGTCTTGCTTTGTTACCCAGGCTGGAGTCCAGTGGCTCAATCTCTGCTCACAGAAACCTCTGCCTCCCAGGTTCAAACAATTCTCCTTCCTCAGCCTCCCAAGTAGCTGGGATTACAGGTACACAACACCATGCCCAGCTCATTTTTTGTATTTTTAGTAGAGACAGGATTTTGCTCTGTTGGTCAGGCTGATCACGAATTCCTGACCTCAGGTGATTGGCCCACCTCAGCCTCCCCCAAAGTGCTGGGATTACAGGCATGAGCCACTGCGCCCAGTGCATACTTTACTTAAAAAAAAATTTTTTTTTGAGACAGAATTTGGTTCTTGTCGCCAGGCTGGAGTGCAATGGCATATATTTTTAGTTTTTAAATTTTCTGTGCCCTTGGAATTCTGAGTGGATACATGAAGAGCTAGTAAGAACCAGTGAAAAAGCAATCACCTATTTTCTTGGGCTTTGAAAAATCACTGTGATTCTCTTATGCAGTTATAACTGAGATTAAGATGGCTGACGGGAGAGTGCAGACTGCTGGTGAGGAAGGACAATGAAGAGACCAGGAACCAAATTCACCATCATTATCACGTAAAGGCATTAGGACATGTCTCCTCATGCGTTCCCGCCACAGAAAGACAGCAGGATAAGTTTCACAAAACTTGAGCAGGCAGGTCAGAAGCAAGGCATGGTTCAGGATGCCAGGGGGCAGGGAGTGGGAACGGAGCAGGATGGAAGAGAAGAGTGAGCTGGACCATGACTCAGGGGGTGCAACTGGGGACAGCAGCTCTGAATCCTGCGGCTCTGGGAGAAAGCTGCTGAGATAAGATGGCTTTGCAGGGAGCTGTCCTGTTGCTGCTCGAGATCAGCCTGCTGGGCCTGTGATGATAAGCGGGGCTGACCCTCCTGGGCTCTGTAGCTAAGCCCACACCCTGCTGAAAATGAGAGGAGGTTGAGGCAGTGTGTGGCCCGTGACACAGACAGGGACTCCCAGCGGGGGGACCCTGGGAATTACTGGACATCTCTCAGCTGGTGTCTTCAGCAGTCTTCCGGGCCAACAATCCCACCTGCCTGTTATGGTGGTTGTTGGTATCAGAGCTTTTGTTTTAAAGTGCCACAAACCCTTAAGATGTGGATGGGTTTCAACTGGGAAACACTCCACAGGCGGGATGCAGGCCCACCTGAGGAGGGGCCTGGAAGGAAGAGAAATATTTGAGAGGGGGCAGAACTGAAGCTGGCCAGGGGCTCACCATTGCAGACAGGGTGGGCCAGGGAAGGCAACTCACACCTGGTAGAGGATACCCTTGTTCTGCCTCCGGACAGGAGGGAGGAGACCACCGCATCGCCGATTTTCAGCCCTCACATGCCGTCTGGGTGGCTTTGGTGCAGTCACTGCCATGATCTGAGTGGTCTTTGGCAAAAGAGAGACTGACCATAGGCCTGGGTGGGGAGGCCTAGTCACCGTGCCCACAGCTTAGGAAAGGACAGTCAGAGCTCCTCTTTGTTGCTATCAAGGGACTGGGCCAGAGGCCCTGGAGCCATGGGAGCATCAAGTGGCTCGTGGTCGCCAGGCTGCTGGCTGCTGTCCTCCAGGCGGCTGTCCGTGGCGGCATGGTTCCGTGGGAGCCAGCTCTCCACTCTGTGCTGCCGAAGGCTTTCAGTACTCACGAGTCCCTGCATCCTCAGGTACCCCTGCTGGCAAAAGGGTGGCAGCTTCTGGCGCGTGAGGGCAAACAGGAAGCAGGACTCTACACAAAAGCAAAGTGAGGAGAATGAGCCAGGCTGGGTGGTGTGGGGAGGGCTGCAGGAAGGGGCTGCTGATGGCCGGTGTGGGAGCTTCACTGCAGGCCTCGCCTGGTTTCTTCCCTCCTTTGAAACTAGGAGCTGACCTTCCTGGGCACCTCACGTCCAACCTGAGTAGGTCAAGAATCATGACCTTCCACAAGGCTCCAGGGTAGGGGGCTGCCTTGACACTTTGGAAGAACAGGCTTAAAAATGAAAGCAAACCACAGCAATGCATCAGCTCTCAGAGATCAGGGCCAAGCACGGGGCTGTGCAGGCAGCCACAGTGGAATCGGGGCTCTGACCCTTAGGAGCAGCTCCTCGGCCTGTTGCGGCTGGGAACTCGGTCAGTCCCACTGTAAGCTCAGAGCTGCCTGCAAAAACGCATTCTCTCAACATCTGAGTTGCAAATACTGTGTGCAAAGTTCTGATCTAAACAGTGTGGGGTAGAGAAAGATAAACGGGTAAATCCTCACCTGCCCCACAACAGAAAGCTGGTGCGTACACCAAATTTGGTCAATCATAAGATAGCTGTGGGGCCAGGGGTGGTGGTTCATGCGTGTAATCCCAGCATTTTGGGAGGCCGAGGTGGGCGGATCATGAGGTCAGGAGTTCAAGACCAGCCTGACCAACGTGGTGAAACCCCGTCTATACTAAAAATAAAAAATTAGCCGGGTGTGGTGGCAGACGCCTGTAATCCCAGCTACTCAGCAGGCTGAGGCAGGAGAATTGCTTGAACTCGGGAGGTGGAGGTTGCAGGGAGCCAAGATCATGCCACTGCACTCCAGCCTGGACGACAGAGTGACTCCGTCTCAAAAAAAAAAGATAGTTGTAGATACTTATCATGTTGAAATATGAAGAGATGGCCAGGCACGGTGGCTCATACCTGTATTCCCAGCACTTTGGGATGCTGAGGCGGCTAGATTGCTTGAGGCTAGCACTTCAAGACCAGCCTGGCCAACATGGTGAAACCCAGTCTCTACTAAAAATACAAAAATGAGCCAGGCGTGGTGATGCACACCTGCAGTCCTAGCTATTCAGGAAGCTGAGGCAGGAGAATCACTTGAACAGGAGGCAGAGGTTGCAGTGAGCCGAGATCGTGCCACGGCACTTCAGCCTGGGTGACAAGAGACTGTCTCAAA